GTGTATGCGTGTGTGTATGTGTGTGTGTAAAGAAGAAATTATACCATCCCGAGTATCATGTGAATTATATAAATACTGTACTACTACTACTGTACAGGTGTCATAAATAGGTGTCATAATTCCTTGTGTCATCACCCTGTTTGTCATAACCCCGTGTTATAATTCCCTGTGTCATAAGTCGTGTACGTCAGATCGAGGTGTCATAATTCCCCGTGTCATAACCCCTTGTGTCATAGCCCCGTGTCATAACCCCTTGTGTCATAGCCCCGTGTCATAACCCCTTGTGTCATAGCCCCGTGTCATAACCCCTTGTGTCATAGCCCCGTGTCATAACCCCTTAGGAAGATAGCTCCCGTGTCATAACCCTCAGTTACAGCCCAGGTCATAACCCCTCAGGTCATAGCCCCGTGTCATAACCCCTCAGGCAATATAGCCCCTGTGTCATAACCTCTAGGTCATAGCCCCGTGTCAACCCTCAGCATAGCCCCGTGTCATAACCCCTTGTGTCATAGCCCCGTGTCATAACCCCTTGTGTCATAGCCCCGTGTCATAACCCCTTGTGTCATAGCCCCGTGTCATAACCCCTTGTGTCATAACCCTTGTGTCATGTGTCACAGATGGAGGGCGTACGTCAAGTGTTGGAGAATGGGACGCTTGTGTTCCCACCCTTCCCCGCCCACCACTACCACAGTCACGTACACGCTGCCACGTACACCTGCACGGCCTCGTCACCTGGGGGCGTACTCCTTGCCACGCCCATGATCGTCCGTGCTGGTACGTGTTTCCCCTCTATCTTTGTTTATTTGTACGTGTTTGTAGGATTGTTATTTGTACTTGTCCGTGTTTGTACATGTCATTGTCTTTCTCTCTGTTTAATTGTATGTGTTTATGTGGTTCTTTGTTCGTGTTTGTCCGTGTATGTCCGTGGTGTTTATGTTTCTTGACCTTTTTTTATGTTTTTTTTTTTTTTTCGTGTTTGTCCGTGATTGTTTGGTCCTTATTCCTGTTTGTCCGTGGATGTACGTGTTAGTACGTGTGTCTATCTCACCCTATACTATTGCACGTGCTTTTGTGATCCTTGTTCGTGCTTGTCCGTTGTATGTACGTGTGTGTCTGTACATGACTGGCTCATGCTTTCTACAGCTGACAGGTGTATAGTGTATAAACCATTAATAACAAATGCTCACCTGGATGTAGGTAGAAGCAGGTGTCGTAATTAACAGATGTACAGTATTCTCACCTTTATTAACAGATGTTTACCTGGATGTGTTTTGATAATGACAGATGTTCAATATCAATCAGCAATAACACCTGTATTCCTCCATAATCACCCTAATTAGCACCTGTTCAATATAAATCACCAATAACACCTGTTTACCTTCATAATCACCTTCAATAACACTTGTCCACCTTCATAATCACCCTCATTAACACTTGTCCACCTCCATAATCACCCTCATTAACACTTGTCCACCTTCATAATCACCCTCATTAACACCTGTCCAATATCAATCACCAATAACACCTGCTCTTAATTACCTTACAGTTGTGGTGGGGGAGTACGAGGTGCAGGTGTACGATCAACTGGTAATGTCAGGTAACACAGCTGTACTCAGGTGTGCTGTTCCTTCCTACGTCAGAGAATACGTGACTGTCACCTCCTGGCTCCATGATAATTCCTTCAATATCTACCCGTCTCTCCATGGTGGTAAGTATCTGTTTATTTCTCTCTCTCTCTCTCTCTCTACCTCTCGCTCCTACAGTAACCACAGATAATTACTCATTACTGGTCATTATTACCTTTAATTAACCTCACCTTACCTGTCCACACCTGAATCGATGTATGTGGATAATCTTAGCCCAATTTTTATATGTATTTAGATATGTATTTTATGTATATGTGTATATTTATGTATGTTGAATATGTATATGTGATTCGTCTACAAGGAAAGATATGTATACAACCGATATTGAAACGTACACAAGCTGGAACACACACACACACACACACACACACACAAACGCACACAAGCAATATGGTGAAAGACAAAATTTTCAGCTCTCTCTCACCTGTTGTGATACCTGTGGAGAGAGAGAGAAAGAATGTCAGGCAGAAAGAAGATTAGTGTCATAAATAAACCAGAGAGAGGGTATCATTTCCTGCCTTCACCGCCTTCTTCAGGTAGTCTGGTCCCTCATTTCCTGTGTGGCTTCTGGTGGGGGGTAATAGGGAAGAGCAGAGAGAGAGAAAGAGGAGAAAGGAAGGAGAGGGTTAAATGAGGTGGAAGAAGGGAGAGGAAGGAAGGAGAGAAGGAGAGAGAGAGGAAGAGGTAAGAAAGAAAGGAAGAAGTGGGTTAAATGAGGAATAAAGAAGGAGAGAAAAGAAAAGGGAAATATGTAGACGAGAAAAAGTGCACGAGAGTAAAAGATGAAGAGAAAATGAGGAAAAGAAGAAGGAGAAGGTAAGGGGTGAGGGGAAGAGGGAGAGAGTGACAATGCTAGGAATTATTATTATTATTATTGTTATTATTATTATTATTACCATATTTATCACCACCACCCCATAACCATACCTTACCACCACCACCATCACCACACACCACATCACCACCACACTACCCACCACCACCACCACCACCACCACCACCACCACCACCCACCACACCACCACCACCACCACCACCACCACCACCACCACCACCACCACACCACCACCACCACCACCACCACCACCACACACCACACCACCACTACACACACACCACCACACCACCACCACCACCATGTAACAAGGGATGTTTTAAGGGTAGAAAGTATAGAGATAATATTTAGTAGGAGGATGTAAAGGTTTGGTAGCGTGGCTGGTTGATTATTTACACCTATTTATCTTATACGTTCTCAAGGGACAACTTGTAAACACCACTTCGATACAACTATTTATTATTCCACTCAATGACACAGTCACATTAATATCAATATTACTGTATATCGACGTTACTAGATCATCATATTTACGTTACTACACTGACTCTCGGACAAGGACATGAATGAATACACTTCCCACAGTAGGTAACTCACCCTCGGAATAGCTCTGACAATGACTCACGTGTAACCTGACGGAGGCCCAGTGGGTGCTGGCTGGGCTGCCTCCTATGGGAGACACTGCTTTGTTGGTGACGCCGGGGTCTGGTCGGGAAGTCTCCCTCCCGACCTGGGGAGAGGACGAGCGTGACTCTGTGTGAGTGAACAGAATGACCACCCGAACGGGAGAGAGATGAGTCGGATGAGAATAATGAGAGTGACGAAAATGAGAATGACCCGTGGACGGGACTGCAGGGAGAAACAGCCGGCGTTTGACCCTGCCAATCAACACTAAACTAGTTAGATCTGGACAGCTGTGTTTGCCCAGGGGCACGGTCATGCCAGGTGTGTCTTGGCTAGGTGTGGTTTCCTTAACACTGTCATTTATAGCATAGGGCTACTCAAGTACTTAGGCCGGGGTCAAGTCCCTTGGGTCCTGACCCAGGGTGTGTCAACCTGGTATGTTGGGGTACCACGGGGCCTGTACTCGTTGTATTCGTGTCGTTTATATTACACTTATATATGGCAAAACAGTAAATAGGATAAGTAAATTAAGTAATATTTTATCAACATTTTATTTCATACGTGAACGTGTCTACAATTGTTAGTTTACTTCACATCAGTGGCTGTTGACCCACTCTTGGTAGCGCTGGGCTCCGGGCAGGTCGTCACCCAGGTAATGTTCGGTACACCGGTACAGGCGATTGACCTTGGCCACGTCAACACTGAGGTTAGTCCTTTGGCCCAGAGTGAGGAGGAGGCTCCCCAGGCCTGGCTTCTATGGTCTTGGTGTACTGGGTTATACTTGGCCCTTCACTACCGTAGTGCATAATGGAGCCGATGTCGTAGGGGCAGCCCAGGGTCTCGTTATAAGTATAAAGGAAATTACGAATGGCGCTTTCCCTAATGTTTTTCGTACCGTACCACGATGTGTTCATCACGGTCCATACGTTGGTGCTCATGGAAGAAGCTAGCACGTGCATCAACTCGTGCGTCACGTGCGCCGGCTTTTCGGCGCATCCTGGCACACGTAGGTTGACCTTGGACACGAACCCAGGCTTGTTGTGGTACCCAGGGATGGCGTTACAAGCGTCTCCAACCTGCATCTTCACGTGATTCTGGTTACGTTTATTTACTGGCACGAACCTGACACACGTACTCTCGTGCAACATGCTTATACCCTGAGGATACCTTTCATGGCAGCCGTGTTGAAGGAGGAACTTATAACGAGAGGTATGTTAGTCGTTGGCGCTTCATTGACCTATAAGCAACGTTTGCTGTAGGTGGCTGCTGAGCCCGCAGGAAAACCCTGCACCAGTAAACAGGATGGTAAAGGTGAACAACGGTACAAACATCATGTAATAAGTGAAGGAGTGAGTGATAAACAGCTGGACGTGTGTTGAGTTATTACGCTGCTTAGTAATGTAGTAGAGGTATTTTGTCTGGTAAAATAGTGACGTAGTGTAGTGAAATGTGAATTGTGTACTGTTATAATGAACATGATGTGTACTGTTATAGTGAACATGTGATGTAGTGAACATGATGTGTACTGTTATAGTGAACACGTGATGTAGTGAACATGATGTGTACTGTTATAGTGAACATGTGGTGTAGTGAACATGATGTGTACTGTTATAGTGAACATGATGTGTGACTGTTATAGTGAACATGATGTGTACTGTTGTAGTGAACATGTGGTGTAGTGAACATGATGTGTACTGTTATAGTGAACATGTGGTGTAGTGAACATGATGTGTACTGTTATAGTGAACATGATGTGTACTGTTGTAGTGAACATGTGGTGTAGTGAACATGATGTGTACTGTTGTAGTGAACATGTGGTGTAGTGAACATGATGTGTACTGTTATAGTGAACATGTGGTGTAGTGAACATGATGTGTACTGTTATATTGAACATGATGTGTACTGTTATAGTGAACATGTGGTGTAGTGAACATGATGTGTACTGTTATAGTGAACATGTGGTGTAGTGAACATGATGTGTACTGTTATAGTGAACATGTGGTGTAGTGAACATGATGTGTACTGTTATAGTGAACATGTGGTGTAGTGAACATGATGTGTACTGTTATAGTGAACATGATGTGTACTGTTGTAGTGAACATGTGGTGTACTGTTGTAGTCAACATGATGTGTACTGTTATAGTGAACATGCGGTGTACTGTTATAGTGAACATGTGGTGTAGTGAACATTATGTGTACTGTTGTAGTGAACATGTGGTGTACTGTTATAGTGAACATGTGGTGTACTGTTGTAGTCAACATGATGTGTACTGTTATAGTGAACATGTGGTGGTTGTTATAATCATGGTCGTGGTTATTATAATCATGGTTGTGGTTGTTATAATCATGGTCGTGGTTGTTATAATCATGGTCGTGGTTGTTATAATCATGGTCGTGGTTGTTATAATCATGGTTGTGGTTGTTATAATCATGGTTGTGGTTGTTATAATCATGGTCGTGGTTGTTATAATCATGGTCGTGGTTGTTATAATCATGGTCGTAGTTGTTATAATCATGGTTGTAGTTGTTATAATCATGGTCGTGGTTGTTATAATCATGGTCGTAGTTGTTATAATCATGGTCATAGTTGTTATAATCATGGTCGTGGTCGTGATACTTACAGTATCTAATATACTATAAGAAGGAATAGAATAAATGTTAGAATAATTAGTTAAAGAAATATTCGCCATAAGGAAAGGTTAAAATCATAAAAAAAATAATTATGAATCACCGATGATCATTTCGAGATAACTTATATTATGAAGAGAAGTGACCTTGATTCTGGTTAGATTAGTCACCATCTGCTTAAGTCATCACCTGTGTTAAGTCATCATAGTCATCAAGTACGTCAGTCAGTTTTAGGCCCATCTCACATGACTGACCGACCATCGATGTTCTTCCCGGGCGAGGGTGTTAGTTTTCAATGCTTCTTATTATTTACGCTGGTGGATGTAAGATCTCCTACCCTCACTGACGCAGCTATGGTCAATTTGGTGTTATTCTTGTTTATAAATGCCTTCTAATCTGTCTCAAGTCTATCCGTCCTGTCTATTGCCATCCCAACTGTCTGTTCGTCTGCGTGGTGTTTGAATGTAAGCCCGTCTGTACTCTTTGTCGTCAAATCTGTCTTATCCGTTGTTGGCGTGTGTCTGCCTGTTTGTCTAATGTGAACCAGTCAGTCAGTTGTCTGTCTGTCATGTTAGTTGCCATATTGTCTATTTCTGCATGTATGAATCTGTCTATTTTTGTCAACCTCCTGTCTGTTTCACTGTCTATATTCACCCTGTTTCTATTGTAGTCATCTTCTCAATTCATTCCTGTTATTATCTTTTTATCTCTACTCTTTTTCCATGCACATTCACCCACAGGAATAAGTACACACTGTAGCTGTAAGGTCGTCTGGTAACGTTGAAACTGCGCATCCAGACTCATGATGAAACTCAGCTCCCCCCACCTGTTATCTCTAACTATTTTCTGTTTCCCCTTCTTTATTCTTCTATTTACTTATCTTCCTTCCTTTACTAATCCAAACAACATTAAAAAGCAGGCTAAGAAAGTGGAAGTGAGAGGGGAGCCATACGATAACTGCAATCGTGGGCTGAC